TATATATATATATACAGACACTACAAAACAAAAACGGTGATAGAGACAACAACAAGATCTTGATACAGAATTCTCAAGATACATCAGACTTGAAACCGTAGTAAATCTTGATCAAGATCTTGATCAAATTTTTCCAAGGACATCAAGTGCAGAGGTATCAATAAATCTTGATCAAGTTCTTGATCAAGAATTTTCAAGAAAAAAATCTTTAAAGAACTTGTGCAGATTTTCTCTTTCTGCAAGACGTGGGAATAATACTGGTCATCCAATCTATTGGGACGAATAATTATCGGTCGTCCAATATATTGGGTGTGTAATGCGTGCTGTGTGTGTAATATTTGAACGAGTCGTAGGAGTAGTATAAATATGACGTCGTGTAAAAGTTTCATTTTTTTTTTTTTTTTAAATCTGTGGTGCATGAATTCTACGACTGCCTATATATAAAACAGTCTATTTTTACTGTTCTCTTTCTCGTCCTTCTTATATGTACAAATAAAGACATTTGTCCAGAATTTAGTGTCACAGAGTGCGAACACGTGACAATAACGAAAACATATATATATTTTTTTTCTCTCTCTCCGTATATTCAAAAATGAAAAATTTTATTCGACAAGTTTTGCACATCTCTTTATTTCCTTCTTTGGCTGCTGACGATCGGCTTGAGCAACCGTGAAACGCGTACAGCCACGCTCGTTCTTCTTTCTTCTTGTTTTCCACATATCATTAGCACGCTTCGCTTGTTGTATAGATACTCACAGCCACCTTCCCTCGCCCCTCCCCCCCGCACACACACAGTTCTATGTTTGCATTTTTATATTTTGAGAGATATTTCTCTCTAATCGTAATGATATACTCTCAAAAAAAAAAAGGTGCCGTGCGGAACTTAAAAAGGGTTTCGAGAATTGAAACCATTTCTAAACCTTTTTTAGGTTCTGTACGAATAAGGTTTCGTACGATACCTTTTTTTCTGCTTTCAGAAAAAGGTTCCGTATGGGAGGTTTCGTACGATACCTTTTTCCCTGCTTTCAAAAAAGGTTTCGTATGAACCCGTAGAGGTTTTGTAAGAATTCTGTGTATGAATTTCATATAGTTCCCTTTTGTATATTTGGTCGTGAATTTATTATAATAAAAACATTTGTGAATAAGGATTGTCAAAGAGAGTAAAAAAGAATATAATCAAAACAATTAGCTGACTTGGCCTTCTGTAAAAACATATCACCTTACCAAAGGCACAAAAAAGAGTGACGGAAAAAAAGAAACAAAGTCAGTGACATGGCCTTTTAGCTCGTAAATATTCTGACGTTTTTGATACTGGTACAGAAGAGCTACCACGACGTTTTCTTGTTGTTGGCATTCGTTTTTTTGTAGTTGTCGGTAGTATTTCATCTTGGCCAATGACGTTCTCTTGATCATTTGAAAACATTGTTGTGGCTGCGGCAGGATCTTTGTCTGATGCAGCCAGATTTTCTGATTGTCCATTATT